CTTGACATTTGTCTTTCCTCTATGTATATCAATCACTACCCACGTTAAATTTTTTTGAAGAGCTTTCATCTCCTCAAAGATAGCCTCCTTCCACTTACGAATTTTTGGATTATCATGCATAGTATTAGGAATCTCTATACATGACAACTGTGAGGTAAAAACACGCAAAATGAGTGAGAGATTTTCATATAACACATAATGGGATAATGAATATTAGGTACAAGACCATTCCCCCTTACAAACAATAATGGGAAGAGTGGACTCATTAAATTTAAGATTAGAATTAGGCCCTGGTTCAAGTCTAGAAGACTCAAAACTCGAAGATGATGTGGAATGAACATGGGGTAAAGGATCAATGAGAACATTACTTAGATAGTTCGCGGATTCTGAGCAAACCAAAAGATCAGTAGCCCATTTCTTTTGAGTTTTCACCTACCGCGAGTAGACAATATCAAATGATATCAATGTTGTAATTTTTCTCCGGTTTCTTCTTTGTTAGGATTATGAAAATGATAAGATGACACTGTAAGATGCCCTAAATTGTCTTCTATATCTAAAGGACCTGACCCACTGTCTCCTGATATAATATAGGTTGGACTATCTGGTTGAACAATTATAGTTGGGGAGATATTATTTTGTGAGTCTTAGAATTAAAAGAGATTTACAAAAAAATAGTAGCCAAATCTTTGTTTTGCCCCCTTGAAGATGAGGCGAAAGAAGAGGATGTAATTCAAAAAAGGTGGCATCCATAGTAACACATTTTTTTAGAATTAGGATCAAAATATTTATATCCCTTTTGGTTAGAAGCATAACCAACAAACACATTTTTTGACTCGGGATTTAAGTTTTTCTTGATTATGACTATAAATGTGAACGAAAGCAGTACACCAAAATATCTTTATAAGTAAAAAAGATGACTGAATTTGTTAGGTAAATTTTCTGAAAAATTTCAAAAGGCATCAAAAGTTTAAAACCTTATTAATCTTTCTATTTATGATGAATTTAATAGTAAGAACAGAAATGATCGAGCTACTTCCAATAAATGTTTGTTTTTTCTTTCAGCCACACAATTTTACTGTGTAGTTTCAACACAAGAGCTTTAATGCAATTTTTCTTCGAATAATTTTCTGAAATTGGGTTTGTATAATGGTGTAAAAATGTTAACATTATTTTCACTTCAAATTTTTATGTCATTAAATAAACTCAACTTAACCTAATGTGATTATCGATAAAAATCATAAACTATTTTTTCATAATATGTAAGATTTTTATAGGAGCCCTAGATAACACTGAATCAGAAAAAATTCTGTGATTGGTTTGTAGCTTTGAGAAGAAAAAAATGCACAATTATGTTTAAGTAACTGGCAGACTTCATAACATAACTGAAACAAAGATAATTTTTTATTCTGAAATAAAATGAGAAACAAGTATTTTAAATATTAAAAGATTAGGATAATATAACCTATGATGTCATAACATAATATCATTGTCTTTGGAAATAATAACATAATATAAAATAGGATTTTGAAATTATTTATTTAAGTCAAATGAATTGTTAAAATATAAGAGTAAATTATTTTTCTTAGCACTAGCAATCATCCTCCTAATTGTCAATCCTAAAAGTTACAATAAGAAGAATAAAATTAGTCTGACAATGATGGTCAACATTAATTTTACTAATGGACAAGTTACAGTCGCAAAGGGTTAGCAAGGTGAGTTTGATAGTTTCTATCCCAACAATTACTGAGAGGGAATCATCAACAATGTTGATCTTTTTTATGGCATACACGAGGTCTATAAGAGAAAAAGAATTTAGAATAGTCAATCATATGATTAGTTGTTTTAGAATCAATTATCCAATAATCAAAAAAATTTGGAGTAATACCTAACAATGCAGTGGCTATAGAATTACCCTTCTATACTAACGAGCAACATGCAGTCAGAAAATTGTGTAAATTGAAATAATTTGTGCAAGTACTCTAATTGCTCCTTGATGAAAGAGACGACATCCTAGTTTGCAGAAGGCTCTTGAGTTTCCTCAGCATTGGCTTGATAAGCTCACTCTTCACGATTGCATTTTGACTTTCAATTCGCAGGTTTATCATGAAGTTTCCAACATATCTCTTTTGTGTGTCATTATTTTTGTATTGGTCACGCCATGGTTTCTTACTTTCTTCTTTGCCATTGTCAGCACCATTTGACACAAGAGCCGAGTTCTCATGTTCAATGTTAAAAGGAGGTTCAGCGGCATAATTTTTCTTTTTGACTTTTCACATTAACTTCTAGAATAGAGGGTAGATGTTTCTTGCTGAGGATGCGACCTCAAACTTAATATAACCTCCGATTAATGTTGGCTAAGAGCATGTAGACTCGTATATTTTCCTCTCTTCCTATGGCGAGTATAGTCATTTGAATTTTCTTGAATCATCATAATATTGATCAAGCTCCTCTCATATGTCACAAACTCATTGAAATATGTAATAAGATCAGAGTCATTTTGCTTGGATTTTTAAAAGTTGAGTTTTCGACTCTCAATTTTGGAAGGAATTTGTCATATCTGAATAAAGAACTTGAAGGGTCTCTCAAATATCTTGAGCGGTGTGAAGGAATAAATACGTCTTTCCTATGACAAATTTCATGGAGTTGTTGAACAAAGCCATAACCTGAGTTTTCATACTACCATTTTTTTTAAATTATGGTCAATAGCAACAGATTTCGAAATTTCTCCAGTTAAATATTCAATTTTGTCTCTCCCATTGATCGTTAATTTTATGGATTGAGCATACTCGAGATAGTAGTGCCCATTAAGTTTTATAATTGAGTAAAGGAGGTGAATTATGGGGAAAATGCTCAGCCGATAAAGACATGAGATGAGTTGCAGGGTGAGATGAGGTGATTTTGGAATTATTGGAACTGGTAAATAGGATAGAATTTATTTGGGCTTCAGTCATCATTGTTGATTTGTACTACATCCTCAAAATCAGAGAAGTTCTGAGCACATGCAGTGGCTACCTCGAAGGAAAAAGGAAACACGCTCTAGTTCTAATGCAGGCCTGACCAGTGTAGAATCAACCTTGTTGTCGATGCCAAAGAAGTCGCATGGTTCAAATATCACCTTTCTCTTTTAAGGGAAAGAACCAAACCCAAGAATCTCTCAGCAACGCCAAGAAAACTTTGTCAAAGGAAGGACGAGGAAAGGCGATCAGATATGGAGCCTCGAATCAGGCGACACAAGGAAATTTCGCCAAAAGGAAGGACATATGAGCCATTTGTGATGTTTTTTAATAGTTTCCAGTAGCAGTGGAACGAGGTAAAGGCGCTCACGAGAGTAAAACTAGCAGACGACCAGGTCGACGAGATTCGATATCATTTTCGACGGCGATAATAGGCTCTGATACCATATAAATTTTGGGAGAGCAAAAATAATTATTCCTCCTCGATTTCATTAGAAATGTTTACCAAATAAATAGTGGAGGGAGACTACCACATTAGGAAAGTGACAAAATCCCTATGTTAAAAAATAGGAATAGAAATTACAACTTACCAACAATAGCAAATTCCAAAAGTAAGAAAAACTAAAAAATGAAGATATTAATAACAAAACTTCCTAAAAATTCAATGATGTTCATCTTGACCGAATAATGGCTTTAGATTGACTAGGTTGATAGGAACTGACAAAAAATGTACAATGCATGATTTTTGCCTGGGGACATAGGCTAATAAGCCAATTAAGCATAGATTTGCTCAATTTACTCAATCAAATTTAATTAAGCCTAACAGAGTTAACAAAATTATAATTAACATCCATCAAGGCTTATTAGCCATTTTAAATTGACACCTTTATAAAGGCAATTGACGTTAAATTGGGCTAGTTTGAGTTCAATTAAGCTTGGTTTAGCAAATCTATCATTTAGATAGACTGATTAAGAAATCTCATCATCTTAATGATCTAGTCGGATCTAAGTCCTATAATTGGAACAACCCTAGGCTTCATGATCATGCCAATATGACTTGGGTGAGTTCAATTTGAAGGTTATTTTACTTCTAGACCATTTGGGTTCAATCCTAGCTACATTGAAGAGCCTCACGATCACTCTTGGGTGAAGTTGAAGCCAAAGGTTTGCAAATTTGGCTCAGCACATGCTGTGTGAGCTGGTTCACTGACATTTAACGAGCTCAATTTAACATTCCAAGCCAGATGAACATTTAACAAGCTTGATTGTAACTCTAGGGGCTTGAACTAGGGTTTATAAGCATCAACAGTTCCACCTTATTGACCTGGTTATCTATTCGCTTAGAGTGCTCCTTCTAAGTCAGTAGTACTTAAGTCAAAGATGGACTGGGTCAAAACAGTATATGACAAGCTCAAATCTGATCCAAGAATTTTCTAAAGCTTGAAGCCTGCTGCCATGGTCATGACATAGTGGTTAATACAAGAATATCAACATTATAAAAAAAGATTTAAAAAATAATAAAAAATACTAATCCTAGATTGGTTTGCTAGGATCTTGTATAAGTCTACCTAAAAGCAGACAAGTCGCAGATGCCAGACATATGGGTCAGGTTATGTTCACCAGCATTTATCTTTTAAAAATTTGAGAATGCTAATATAACAAGTTGTCCAAAAAAAATGAATGCATATAACAGCAAATCGATAAAAAGGAAGGTAACACCAATTTATGTTTCAAAAATTTAAAACAAGCTTCTTTTTTCTTGGGTTCTCTTGAAAACCTTTTTAGTTTTATTTTTATTATTTTAGTATAACCATGGTAACAATCTTGAGTTCATGCTGATCATTAGGGTTCCAAAATTTCAATAGGCAGTTTGCTTCTACCCAATCATGCATTTACTGCACAGTGAAGAATTATTAGCACTGCGAGCAAATCATGCAGAAAAGAACAACTTAGAACAAAATAAGAAACAAACATTAAATAAGGCAATACGCTCAAAAATTATAAACATTGACTAAAATTTTCTCTACAGCTCTGAATACAACTTACATCCATAATGGTCACAAGGGAATCGGAGAGCAATAGAGGACCAACTGATGCAGGAGCAGCATTCAATGTTAACCGTGATGACAGGTCATCTCTAGACAATGTTTCGACCTGCAAAAGGAAAAGATGTTAAGACATTGTAAACAAAGATTATAGCCAAGTTGTTAAGATGATTTTCATAAATGTATATAAAGAAAGATTGCAATATATAGCATTTTTTTCTTTCTTTTTGACTGATTTCTAGTTTTTTCAATGTCAATGTATACGGACTACTCTATCTACTTTTAAAGGAACCCTAAAGAAGAAGAATCCTACATGAAGTAAATGAAACAAACTCTACTCTCGATTACAGTTCACAAATAATGAAAGAGAATCCAACGAAAATTAACCTTCATTACAGCAAGTCATGTAGAATGTATTATGGATGGTGTTCAATAAGATAACGATATTAGATTATTTAAAAGCCAAAAACGAAAGTGTTTAGGTCATTCCATCAGATCTATAACAGAAGTGAAAACATTTTAGAATCTTTGCTGTTAGTCATCATGCAATTTCTCATGTAAGAGTAAGAATGACATCATATGGATAATAGTTTGCAGTATAATCAGTTCTTGGATTAGATCTTATGAAGCGAAGTCAATGAACCACTCAATAAATTTAAGTTATCAATCATAACCAAACTGCTGTATCTAAATAACAAAAAGAAAACTAAGTTGCCTATCACATATTCTTACCATAAAATAACAAACAATACTGATAATATAAAATGAACAGAATTGAACACTGAACCATGGGTGAAATCATTACAAAAAGAGTAAGGAACACAAATGAGGTGAACAGGCCTTTCTACAATTTCTTTTTTTTTTTCAAACAGATCAGGCAAATTCACAGAGAACATTTCAATAAGAATAACAACTTTTAAAAGGTCCTAACATTATTGCTAATCCTGAATGTTTGCACTTTACTATAAATTTCAGCTAAAGGTACTCAAATACCTGCCCAACAACAAAATCCACTGAATCTGCTATAAATGGCTCTTGTGGACCATCGTGAATTCCTGTTAAGATGTATCGCTTCAGCAAAAAAGAAGGTGTCCAACCAACACTGCAACAAAAAAAATAAAAGTTGGACAAAAAGCATAGAAGAATATAGATCACAAGCAAGCTGCTAAATAAGCTTGCATTCTCGAATTGTAAAACACATACTATCAACAATAGTTTATCTATGTCGGAAAGAATCATTCAAAGTGCTTCCCGAGAATCAATCTGCCTTTAATTCCAAGTATAACAGTTACTCAAACAAATCTAAATCCAGTGCTGTTAAAAGGCAAGCCGGCTGGTAGCCAAGGTGCTAGACTGAGAGAAAACGAGGACAAAATGCCACATACACCTCCCCAAAAATGGATGATGAAGCAATATATGGCATTGAACATTGCGATATCCTCAAGCTATTCTTTCCAGATAATAAAGAAAAAAGTTTAGTTATTTAGGCATATCTTTTGAGGTACTTTTTAAAAGGTAATCTATGATTTACATATTATAGGAAACAGCTTAGTTATTTAGACATGTCTTTTGAGTACTTTTTTAAAGATAATCTAAGATTTTTTAAACATTAGATAAAATCAGAAAAAAATAACACCTATTGGGCATGGCCAATGGAGGCACGAACCTCCAGTGGCCCCACTCTAGCTCTGCCAATGATCCACAATAAACTATTATCTATGCATTTTAACTGATATTTAACTGTTCTGTAAGAAAAAAATATATATAGAATTGTAAGTTGCAAAATAAACTTTGAAAGTGATTTTGAGCTTCTACAATAAATTCAAAACATATCATGAAATATTTCATTTGTAATCGTATAAATTTGAATCTTTATATATCTATCATTTTAGATTTCATGCAAGCCTCTTGAGCAGTTTTACTTCCTTCCCTCTCTCTCTCTCTCTCTCTCTCTCTCTCTCAACCATCCATGTTCCCTCCTTGTCTCACACACTATATTCACTAAACTATGCACATGCTCAGCATTCAAAAACTACCTCGCCAAAAAAAAGTGTGATACCTCATGTATTCTATTTTCTCTCTTTTAAGCATTCCAAAATAACTACATCGCCTCTAAGGCATTTGGATTCTATCATTATAAATGTATTTCAACCAGAGGGAGTACTTATGTTAAGTATTAAATAATAATTAACACAAGAAATTATGTTAGGAAAAATACGGAATCTCCACCATTCACTGCATTCAAAGTTTGAAAATATGACTGAATAAATTATTAAATAAATTATATATTAGAAACCTGCAATCAATGTGATTAACTTCATAGTATGTATAGCCTAGGCATAATCTGATCTTCTCTCTCACTGAATGAAGCCTTTATCTGTTTCTTCGATGAGCATCATATTAATCTAGAACTTGAAGTTCTTGCACATATGTTCCATTTAACTTATTTACAAGAGAACATCTTTAACTCTCTGATTCTTGATGCTCTTTCCACATCTCATATTAAATTTTCATCATCCAAAACTAACCCATCTTCAACAAATGAAGTATTAGCACCCATCTCTCAAATCAAGGCAAGGAGTCACATCATTTTTGTTGACTTTAGACAAGATGCTTGCCTCGGTGCACCATACTAATGACAACAACATTAGAGGGGCAAAAAGTGTTATGGTTTCACCTAAACTTGCTAAATCATTTACGCAAGCATCCAACCTAACTTCAACAACAATGGCACACTATTCCTGTCTTACCAACCCTAGCACGCAAGATCCCTCCCCTAGAGGATGTGAGCAACCAGCCAAGGCAAAAATTTGCAGCCATTACAAAGTAACAGAAAGAAATAATTAGGGAGCAACTCTAGTTCTGATTGACCATAAAGCACAATAACTGTCAAAAAGACTTGAACTTGCAAACTAGAGAAAGAAGGTAAACTTACAAGTTAATTTATTCAGCACTTCTTTCATTATTATACTAAGTATATAAAATTACTTTAAAATAAGAGAACAAGGGCTAATTTAAGCCTTCACCCAAATGTAAGGTGCTTTTTTCTATTTTTCAAGATTATTTTTTATAGTCCCTCAACTTTTAAATAATATTTTTCTGCTACAAATGCACTAGACATTTTCAAAGTTAAATAAATTTAACATCCAATACTATATGAAACTATAGCCACAATTATTGGCAATCAAAATATGTGTTCCAAAAAAGGTCATTCTTTCCAATATAACAATCACAGAAACATCCTGAAGTTGTTTTCTCCTATAATAGAAAGTAATGGAGTCCTTGAATGAGTGGGATCTAGTGAACGGCCGCCTTGGATGGTTGCTAAAGGGAAGTACAGGGGAAATGCAACAATGTTTGCAAATATTAGCAACAGTGTATTCTAAACAAGGCAAAGTAAAAAAGTACCAAATACATAAAGTATTCTAACTATATTTTGAGATGTAATTTACTTTTATATTTTCAAAAATAATCTGAAATTACAGGACGAAAGCTCCTGAACAGTCTAAAACAACAAAACAAAAGCTCAAAGTAGTTTGAATTAGAAACCAAATCAACATTTTGGATATCTAGCTTTCAACACGGACTACAATAACTTAATAAATTGCGATATCCACTTAAAATGCATCGAAGATCTGAAGCAAAATAAAAAGGAATTATAAAAAAAAATTCCTTCAAACTATATATTTTGAAATCCATTCATATATTGACCTACTAATATCCTCACAACTGACAAAACCCCGTAGTTTAAATATTTTAATCCACCTTGATTGAATTTCCCATAAACAATGCAATGAGAAGTCCTTCCCAACGTAACACTGCTCCATACAAATTCTAGATATGCCACAAAATACCTTAAAAATCTTGTTGAAAACAATAAACTTAAGATGCACAACAGATTTAATCAATTTAAATTTTCATTTCTAAGAGAATTTGAAATTGGAGCAATGACAATATTAAACGATTTAAAAATAGTCAAATTCAAACTATAAAAACCATAAATATTTTGTACGTCAGTTAATTTCAATCATCATTAGCTGTTTTGGTATTATCAGAATCAATAGAAAATCCATTTCAGATAGAACATTTCTTCGGAAAATAATAAATGAAATCACAAACTACATTTTTTGAGATCTATATACAACTTCTTTTCTTTCAAGGCCCCAAATATTCTCCTAAGATGCATTCCATAATTATCTTATGCCTTCCATGAACCAAAATGTCATCAAAATAAAATAAAAAAACTTTTGACTAATTAACATGTTCCATTATCCTCATGAAAAGCCCTAGGTGCATTAGTTAATCAAATATGCATCACTAACTATTTATATAATTCATTTTCGATCTTAAAACTAATTTTTCATTTCACTTTCCCTCATTCTGCTCTGATATTGCAAATCAAACTAAAAAAAATATCACAAAACCAATCAGCATATATAGCATATAATTCAAACGAAGAATAGCAATACAAATTTATTTGAGAGTTTTTTGCTGGCTCTATTATCTACACACATGCACCAACAACATTTTATTTAAGTCCAATGAAAGCAGGCATATCCCAAGGAAGCAAGCTTTCCTTACTAAATACCTTTGAATGTTGAGTCAATAAATTGAATTTTAAGTTTGGTGTGTTCATTTAAATTCATCCATAACGTGGCAGATTTTAAGAACTAAATAAATAGCATATTGCATTTTCTCAAGTGGTCATAATTCATAAAGAAGCATCAAGATAAACATTTTTAAAATCATTTTAGTCCCGCATCATTTTATTGCAACATAATATGAGAAATTAACTAGTAGAAAAGCAACGTCAAATAAAACCAATGCAAAGCATTAAAACAAATTCGTATAAGTTAAACTTTTATACATTTATAATTGCATCCACATTTTTAATGTATTAAATGTAACTATATATCATGAAACATCAGCCAAGATATTGGATTCTTCTCCTTTTCTATCTACTCCTTTATTAATAGAATCCACATATCATTTGCACAACTCTCGAACATTTATACTAATCTTATTTTGAAATTATTACTAAACATGAAATCATGCCAACTATAGACGGTAGTGGATATCAAATATATTTTATAAAGTAGAAAAGCATGTAGACAAAAGATGGATTCATGAAATTCCATAAGCAAAACTATTTTATCCAGCATAACTGATGAAAATCAGCTGAAGCATTCATCAAAGCCGATTTTAATTGAGCAAGACATATTTATGCAGACCTCAAAAATTTAGGATCATAACCTTTTAATAGGATTTTTGGTTTCCATCAAACTCCACTTATGATGTGTTGTTATTGTACGATCTATAACATGTATGAGTTTTGTTGTGCAGCTATTACCGTTTCCTTATACGAGATTTTTGTACGTAGTTTCAGATCTTCATAGACTTCTCATCTACAGATCACCATAGACTCAGATTTCTTTTTTTTTTTAGTTGTGATAGAATTTGTGATTATCAATATGGAGCTTCTAGACATATATTCTATGTTAATATATCTTCTCGTACCAGCATGAGGCATGACTTTTCCATTTGGTGATCTACAATCACCCTTGTTATATATAGTCATACATTTAGATGCATAATTGAACTTTGAAAATTTTAGTACAATCTACCTTTCAATTACGGCATGAGTTTCAATCAAATGGATGTTTTTCATGCAGATATTTATATGTATTATTTTTAATTATTGAATTAAATTATCTTCTGTGATGGATTTTAATAGTTTCAAATTTCAACTGAAGAAACCAATAGTTGCCTAAATTAAGGATTTTGAACTGCAGATGTAAGGTATGTCATTTTTTGCATCTCACTCTAGATATGCATTGGGAAACCATGAATTCTAAGATGTCCTACATCAACAAAGGCTTTACGAACAAAAATGATTATGAGAATTTTGTTATGCCTGGCAAAAAGATAATACAGATTTATCTGCTTCCAACCTTTAGCAACTTATTCAGGCAATTGGTTATCTTTTATTCGATTAAAATTAAGTCATCTTCTCCAGCAGCATTAGCCTAACATGTTGCTATTGCCAATCTCTGATCTTTTGTTTTCTTACTATCGAAGCACATTATTTGCTTTTAAACTTAAGCAATCACCTTTTTATATCTTTCTAAGCATATAGATCTTCTGTGAAGTCCCAATAAAACATTCAGAGATTATACTTCTATCTCCAGCGTACTTCTTTTATTACTTGGTATTTCACACTAATCTATATCAATAATTTAATACTATTGAAAACATTAAACTTCTCACTACCATCCTATGCTTTGCAGGGGGCACACTGCTAGCACAATCGCTTTCCATGGATGACTGCTTACATTATAGAACTAAAGCAAACCAACACAAGTAATGATTCATAAAAATATAAAATCAAACAAATAAGAAGACGTAAATATTATCAATAACAACCTTCAGTATCATTGTTATGCTCCTCGAACAAAGCTCCTAATCTTGATGATACCAAAGGAAGCCCAAATCACAAAAGAAATACAAATATTATTATTGAATTTGAAATCAGTTATAATGCCTCCTCAAAACATGAAATAAACGACAAACAAACACAAAGACACGTACCAACACCTTGAAAGTGCATCTCAAGGGCCGGGGAGGTTGGCCAAGTGGAACCAGAGGCTTGGGATGGCAAGTGTGAATGCGGGCGAGGGGCCAAGAGGGATTGGAAGGTGAACTGGAGGAGGAAGGCAATAAGCTAAGGTGGCGGGAAGGTTTGTTAGACGGCTAGGAGGTAGGTTGGAAGGTGGGTTAGCAAGCTAGGAAGGTGGGTCAGCAGCACGGAAGGCTCGTCGGCACTTTCGGAGAGTGGAAAACCAGCGGGGAAGTGCTAGCAACAATGGGAAAGGCCTGGACAGCATAGTAGACTATTGAAAGTGGGTCGGCTAAGTGCTTGGAGGAATTCTGGATGAATAACAAAATTGGTTGTTCAGAAAGGGGGTCTGAGCGTTGGGATGAAGTATAGGGAGTTGCGGCCTTGCTGGGAGAAGATTGGCAGCAGGTTAGGGGGAAGACATTAGCCAGTGGTTGTTGGAGAAGAGATGCGGTTGTCTGCTGTAACGCTGGGAAGTGGGTGGATAGCAACAGAAAGGGTGGAAGAACAGATAAATATCTCGTCGGAGTCGAGCTACAGTCGAAGCATCAACCGGACCCATGGAGACGATCACCACTCGAATGAGGAACAGTCGGAGTACTACCTCGATATCAGATATAGCCCTCAAAAAGGAAAATACCAAGGCTAAAACCAAATTTCAGATATCAAAAACAAGACATCTAACTCTAAGCACATCATCCCCTATTTATAGAGGCTTGACCAATCTTAGGAAGGGTTTCAGAATTTGAAAAAACTTTCAAATAAACAAGGAGAATAAAAATATATTTTAGATTTGAAGAAAGGGTTTCAAAACAATGAAGGAGAATGAAATTAGAATTTCAGGTTTTATGGAAGGATTTAAAATAGGAAAGTGCATAGAAAAAAAGTTGTTGGGGGGGGGGAGAGAGAGAATGGAAAGCTCAGGAAGGAAATGTGAGGAAGGAAAGGAAAAGGGGAGAAAGGGGGAGAAAAGAGGAAAGAAAGGAAAAAGAGGAGGAGGGGGCGGTAGCCCCACTCCCTTGAGGAACGGTCAATCCCCTTAAGCCTTCGGTTTGTCGGGGTCTGTAGAGCTTCGACTTTATCTGTCGAAGCTTCTGGACCTCTGTGGCCTTTCCAGGATCCCACTGACAACTGTCCTGGCTCCCAAAGCGTCTAAGGAATTTTTCCCACGTCCGAGCATACCTCCCTATCAATTTTTCTGGTTTGGCATAATCTGAGTTTAAGGTACACATAGACGTAGGTTCTCCCAAGCCAAATTTTGAACAAGTAGATATCTCATATATTTATCATATAAGAAAAGTTGGGTTTAAAGGTTTGCAAGAGTTTGGTTGATGGGTGATTCTTATTATATTCTGGGTCTTCTCTCTGGCTATTGAAACTTTGGAGAATTGACATCTTCTTCTTCGTTCCAACAAAAAGAGTTTCAACCTTGCCTTTCGTCTCTTCATGTGGAATATTGGGGGTGATGGCTGGAAGTGTAATCGTCTGTGATGCTATAAGTTGATCGTTGTTAAGACCATCTTCTAAAATTTTAAATTATGACATCTTCTGATCTGTGTGACATTTATATGTCTTAACAATAAGTTATCCATCTTCTAGGAGAATAGGAATCACAATCTCATTAAAAATAGCATGTTCATTTTGATCACATGGAGTAAACACATCAGATGTATCCACAAATAAGGGAGTTTCCAGGGGAAAAATGTCATTGAATAAAAATTCTTGTTTGAACTACTCTTCAGTGTCTACAATGTCTTTACCCAAAGTTTCAACAACGCCCTGCTCCATGAAATAGATCACTCCTCTGGTTCTGCATTCTGTTTCCACATGTCTGAATCCGTAGCACTTGCAACATTTTCTGGTAGTGACAGACTTGCAAATTGATTTCGCTGGATAGTAGCACGGGAGGTCGCTTGGTGATACGGTCTCTCCTCTTTGGAACCTAAAGTCTGCAACTTTTGGCGGTAGTAAGCTAATAGGAATTGGCGTTGTGTTTCCCGGTTCATCTTCCTATTTTCTCGTTCTTCCCTTCGACCTTTCAAATCATGGTCAAGGGTAACTTCCCACTAGATTTTCTCTTCAATATCCATAAGCCTCTTTTGGAGACGATAGAGTTCTCATCGTATCTCTTCCCGAGTAGGCTCGAGCATATTTCTTCTTGGCGGCATCGTTGACAGTTTTGGGATCTGTGGAAGAAATGAAAAAAATGAACAAAGAAAGAAAAGAAAAAAAATAAACGAAAGAAAGAACAGAAAAAATTTGATGCGGTGGATTGCGTAGGAGTGGATGCTAGAAACGGTAGGATGGGACTAAAATTGGGCTATCTCTAATACCAAATAATACTGGAGGAGAGCCCAAACCATAAAAGAAACCCAAATATTATTAAATTTGAAATCGGTTACGACTATTCAAAACATGAAATAAACGACAAACACAAAGACACAAGTCAACACCTCAAAAGTGTATTCCAAGGGCGGTGGAGGTTGGTTTAGTGGATCCAAACGCTTGGAACAACAAGTGTGAATGCGAGAGAGGAGTTGGCAGAGGTAGAAAGGTGAACTGGAGGAGGCAGGATGTTAAGGTGGCGGGAAGGTAGGTTGGAAAGTGGGGTAGCAAGCTGGAAAGATGTGGCAGTAGCAGAAAGGCTTGTCAACACTTTCGAATAGTGGACAGCGAGTGGGGAAGCATTGGCAGGAATGGGAAAGACCTAGACAGCAAGGTACAATGTTGGAAGTGGGTCGGCTGAGTGCTAAGAAGAATTTTGGGCATAAGGACAGCAAGATTATGTTGTTCAGGAAGGGTGGCCGAGTGTTGGGATAGAGTATGGGGAGCTGCAACCTTGCTCGGAGAAGGTTGTCAGTAGGTTGAAGGGAGGACACCAACCGACGGTTGTTGGGGAAGAGGTGTGGCGGCTTGCTCTAAGGTTGGGAAGCGAGTGAACAGCGGCAGAAAGGGTGAAAGGATAGATAAATATCATGGCGGGGTCGCGCAATCACCACCTCAGACGAGAGACCGCCATAGCACTACCTCGACGTTGAATATAGCCCTTGAAGAGGAAAGTACTAAGGCTAAAACCTGATTTCAGATATCAAAAACAAGATCCCTAACTCTAAGCAAATCACCTCCTATTTATAAAGAGGCTTGACATTTTTTAGAAAGGAATTCGGATTTTGGAAAGACTTTCAAAATAAGAAAGAAGAATGAAAAGGATTTCAAATTTTTGGAAAGGCTATTAAAATAAGAAGAAAAAAAGAGATTTTAGATTTTAGGAAAGGACTTTAAAATAAGCAAGGAGAATAAAAAGAGATTTCAGATTTTAGGAAAGAGTTTTAAGATAAGGAAGGAGAACAAAAAGAGAATTTCAGGTTTTAAGAAAGGATTTAAACCAGGAAAGTGCTTAGAAAGGAAAGGTTAGGTGAGGGAAAGGAAAAGCGAGGAAGGAAAGGCGGGGGAGAAAGGGGGAAAGGAAGGAAAAAGAGGAGGGAAAGGAAAAAGGGGAAGGAAGGGGCAGCAGCACCGGCCGGTCCTCCCCCGAGCCCTGCGTCAATTGAGGACAACCCTCATCACTTTTTAATAATTATTTCATCACGTAGATAACTCTATGTAGAGCTTCGCTGCCCTGCCAACAAAGGCTTGCCCGCTATGACTGCCATACACCAAGTGAGATATGCTTGACGCCATAAAGGGTCAATGAACTTTGTTGTATGTACATGATAGATGATTTTGCTTCTCATATTTGCAAGGTCATGTTTGTGAAATAATTTGGCATCACTCCATCAAACAAATTCACAAGGAATTCGCTGTATATCTATATTAAATAAACCATATAGCATTTCAATTTTGAAAAGCATCAGAATGCTCAAAAAAAATGTTAAAAGTAGCTTAAAAAAGAGTAACCACACTCCGTGAGTAATTAACCAACGGGGAGAAAGAGAAGATCACACATACACTGGAGACCATGGCATTGAAGCAGAGAACTTTTCAGTGTCCAAGAAAGTATTTGAAAGAACAAGTGATTTAACTCGTCTTGGTCTATGCTGAGCAAAAATTTGAGCTAAAAACCCCCCAAGGGATGTGCCATAAAGATGAACCTGTCAACATGAATTGCGCGATCAAAATCTTCAAAATCAAAACAAATTTAATAAATAGGGTGAGTTCTTACATGATGAACATTAATTGTATCTATGAACTTCTCAAATGCATGAACCCACTCAAGATGGTTCCAAACTCGTGGTAAATCAAGTGAAATAACACGGTATCCCTGAGAAGCACTTAAAGATCATAGTCATTAGTAAATCTAAAATGACAAAAGCTATTGAAGAATTACTAACCAGTGAAATTTACTATCACAAACCTACAAAAGCAATTCCTCAGTAAAAGAGGTAAAACAAAACCATAAACTTTGAGGGCAGCTTAATAACAATAATTAGTTCGCAGAAACATAATGAGAGCTAACTCCATGAGCTTCTTTAACTCAGAAAATATGTATGCACGCATCATCAGGTCATTTTATATAATTGCAAAGAACTAGTTGCACCAGCAACAGTGAAATTTCTTGGTACAACCAAATTAACAAACCATAGGATACGTAACTTAAATCAGTAAAAACCCAAAAGCACTACCTTGTAATGACAGAAAAAGAGTAACAAATGTGGCTCAGAAATGATATATTTCACCACAGAAGAAATAAACCATGAGGCCCAATCAGACAGAGAGTAGATGCAATAAGAAACAGCAACGGTTGTAAAAGCAGAGTCCTTGCAATACTTGTACATCCACTTGTGGTGCACAACATTAAGTTATCCAAACCAAAATTGGCATGGATTCATAGAAGTAAACATATAAGTATATTCTAAATAAATAAACATATATATTTAAAACAGTAAAAACTTACAGAGCACCAAACTTGAAGAGAACACCAGACAGACGCTTCTATATTACACTGAGAGGACTAAGAAAACTTGCACCCAGATAGAGAATACAATACCCTTATTTATAATAGAGGGCGGACTCCAAATTTTATACAATATAAGTAAACAAAAGATAACACATCCGTGACATAAAGTAGAAAATTATTTCAGAATATTATTATACCCACTAGATTTATTTCAGCCATTATTCCATCAACTCTTACTATTTCAACCACCATTATTATTTTCTTATTTTCTTATTTTCTTCTGAGGTGACTCGTGGAGTCTATTTATGTTGTTTTTTCTCTGCAATTTATAATAAGAATTTCTGATTTAATAAATCATTTTAAAATTTCGTAAAGTATTTGACGACAGAAAGGATTTCTTTTTTAATGGTCAAATATTTTTCTTGATTAGCATTTCCCTTGTCAAATGTAAAGCGAACTAATTGTTCGGTATTAAAAGTTTTTGCTTTAAGATTTCTCCGTAGCCAATATTAGAGGCATCTGTCTCTAATGTTTTAGGGACAGACGAATCTGTAATATGTAAACAAGGTAATATTTTTAACTTTTGATTAATTAATTAGACAGCTTTAGTATGATTCTATATCAATGGATTATGATGTTTCTTTAATCTATTATAAAGAATAGCACATCTAAAGCAAGATCTTTATAATAATCCGCAACGTAATTGAGCGAACCCAGAAATCTCTGTAATTGACGGAGATCAGTGATTTAATCTGAAAATTTAGAAGTGAATTATATGTTTCTTTCAATTGACTACGGAGGAATCTTGAAGCAAAAAAGATTTTAATATCGAACAATTGGTTCGTTTTACATCTGACAAGTGAAACACCACTCAAAAAAAATATTTGACAATCAAAAAAGAAATATTTTTGGTCGTCAAATGCATTACCAAATTTCAAGATGATTTACTAAATCAGAAATTCTTATTACGAATTGATTGTAGTTCAATTAAGTATATATTGCAAAGAGACGTAAAAAATATTGTCTCTAAATAAATCTTTGTTAATTGACATGCACAGTTACCTTGTTCTGAATTTGATATTGAATATATTACGGGTGATACTAATTTCTTACCTGGCTTTCTCACTTATGAATTTTTTAAGGGAAAAAGACAAGGAGGGTTGGATAACCCCTCCTACACGCAATAGAATGATACCCAATAGGGGTAGCCCCACCTTTCGAGTGGGAAGAGGTAGGTGTCAACCTAATCTGACCCCACGAAAATTTATTAATTTAAAGCAATATTTATATGGTAGCCCAATGGTCTCCACATTTAAAGAACAAACTCCTGAATTTTAGATTCAAAATATCACGAAATTCGTGCAAAAATTTTCAAAAGAGAAAATCTTCGAAATTAATCTAGAGAATTAAGAAATCAATGATCCCTGGAAAATGCAGGAGAGATACCTAAGCACAATTGCCAACGCGCAAGAAAATCTTGACCGCGAATCATATGAGACAATCCTCATTTCATTACAATGTGTTGAAATTCAACACAATTATAATGAACTCAATAAATATATTACATATAACAAGACGACAATAAATCGCATCTTGCACCAAAAAAATTGGGGTTTAACTCATTTTCAATTTAAACAAATTGAATTTATACATCATATATCTAAACAGATGAAAATATTTCTTTGTAATTATTGAACTTATGTCCAAGCCATGAATCATGTTTTTTTTTACTTATTAATCAAAGACATAGTCATTCCTGATTGTTTGTGCTATTGCCTAAATCTTGAATAAAGAAATATCAAATTAGTTTTTAGCTTGGTAGGATAAATTTGGAGCCACCAATGAAATTCTTCTGGAATCTATCAACAATTTATATTCAGCATGGGTAAACTCTTCTCCACAAATCGGTAAAATCAAAAATAAATTCTTATCTGAAGAAATGTGCAAATTATTGTTCTTTTGTCAGGCACAAATTCCTTGGATGTTTGTCTGGAATCTATGTAATCAACCAGATGGGCTCAATACTAAATGCTTATGGAGAACTTTTGTCATCAAATGGTGGTCTGTAATTATTGTTGATGACAAGGTAACTCAAATCAATAAATTCATCACATCTAATGGTAAAAATGTTCAAGAGCATCAAGCTCGAGAATCTTCTCTAAAGGAAATCCATGATCAAATCAAAAGAAAATACCCTTGCGAATCTCCATATCAAATTAAAAGAAGAATCCAAGAAATTTATCAAAGACGAATGAAAGAATTATTTGAATTAGTTGACGATATGTCAATCTCCAATCAAGGATCAGATGAAGACGAAGAAAGATGGGAACGAATAGTAACCCACCTTGGCTCGAAATAATGACAGAGGAGAAAAAAACAACATATATATACCCCCACCTCAGAAAAAAATAAGGCAATAATAATGGTGGTTGAAATAATAAGAGTTAGTGGAATAGTGGCTGAAATAAATCTGGTGAGTGTAATAGTATTCTGAAATAATTTTTTTTTATTTTATGTCACTGATGTGTTATCTTTTATTTAATTATATTGTATAAAATTTGGAGTCCACCCTCTATTAAAAATAAGGGCATTGTATTCTCTGTCTCTGTGTGCAAGTTTTCTTAGAATCCTCTCAGTGTAATATAGAAGCGTCTGATATATATATATATATATATATATATATTAAAGCCCAAAAAGACTAATATATTAACTATAAAGAAAGATACAGATACAATGCGATGGAGGGCCCAAACATGGCATCCTACTCACAACAAAACCACAAGAGGTTCCACAACAAAAAAATACTGAAAAGTACATTAGAGACATAAAGAAAAATCCTAAAAATGCAGAAATACATAGTATCAGGTGGCTAGAAAGCAACCCAATTTAGTTTTGCCTCTGCCTCTAGTTCTAGGAAAGGAGCAAGCTAATAAGTTAGTAAGATGATTGTTATTGTCAGTAGTAACAAATGTATCATCAAATATGTTCCCGAGCTGGAGTCGACCTTCATTCTTCTTCTTCCTCCTGGAATAGACCTGTCATTCCTCTTCTGAAGATTGGCTCACCTGATCTTAGTCTAAAGTGTGTTGGGGATGTGCAGATTGTTGGACATTAGAAGTAACTACATGTTGTACTGACTGATTTGTTATTGGAGCAAAGGAGCACTCTCGTGTGTCTTAGCATGTGAGTGAGTATTCTTCAATAACAATGGGTGGTATAACCACAATTGGATCTGTAGTTGTAGTATGGTGTTCTTTGTCAAAAACTGCGGTGTTGGAAAGTCAGGTTGCATCTTCTCAACAGGGATGATAGGTGACTGATCTTTAATGATATTTGGCCTTAGATGAGGATGCAAACGATAGCAAATAGTAGAGATT